CAGTGCCAGGCTCGCAGCAGACATCAAACAGAAGGACATTCATGTTTCCTGAGCCCCACATTTTCCACATAAAGAAATAAAGACTTGGGCTGGGCGGTGGCTCAGGGGTAGAGTACTTCTGCAAGGCTCTGGGTCTGATCCCCAGCACCACAAAAATAAAAGTGATAATAATACTAAAAAGAAATGATGATTTGATTTGGAATGTTTATGGCAATGACCTTGATCACTAAGACCTCTACTCTAGGCAGAGATGGGCTGAGGTGACTTGTCCAAGACTCAGAGCAAATAACAGCTGGCCACAGGAGGCACCTCCCTGGGCTGGGCAATGTCAGGCATCATCTCACTGAATCCCCCAAACTGCCAGGGGATGGAAGTGGCTGTTCAGACTACTTTACAGGTAAGGAGGTGGCAGTTCAGAGAAGTAACGAGCAAGGCAGCAATATCTGCCTAACCACAGAAGGGTCCTCCTGACTCCTGCGCCAGCATTCAGAGCAGCTGTCATTACAGGGTCCCGGCTTAGAAGTCATCTACCTGCAAATGAGCAGGACCAGCGCCGTCCCAGAGCCCCTGCAGCCCTCTCATTCCACTTAGCGCTGCCTAGTCACAAGGGTCCTCTGGCCTCAGTCTATCCAGGAGGTGATGCCCCCAGCTGCATGCCACCCAAAGGGGACTAAGGATCAGAAGGGGTCAGTGGCCTGGACAATCTCATGCTCCGGACTCTGAAGCCCAGCCCAAAGCCAGATCCTCGCGTGGATCCATGAGCTCACAGCCCAGCTGCTTCAGAGCCCAGGCACCCGACAGAGCCACCTCCTCCCGTCTCCACATCACCATCGCTAATAACGACATCAATCAGGGTGACCACGTTTCACACCATTACTCGTCGCTCAGCTGGAAGCGACATATTTCCCCCTCACCCACCCACCACCTTCCAGAAAGCAAAAGGGCTTTCTAGAAGGGAAACCGAACGACACCGGTTTTTCCTGAGTACCTACTATGTGCCTGGCACCTGGCTAAGGAAAGCCCCTTCTTGCCTCTGTGAATGAAGGTGACTCTCCTTTCCAGGGAGGAGGGAGCTGGGGGCCCCAGGAGTGAACGCATGTGTCCAAGGTCACACAGAACGGGGACAAAAACAAGTGATGTATTACTGAGCGCTTGCTGTCACAGGGCCAAGGCACTATGGGTGGTGACTGTTGAAACATTATCCTTTCCACTTTCAGTTGAGGAAACTGGGGCTTGGTCACACATTGGTCACAGGGAGCAGCCGAGGGGCACAGGGCTGAGAGGCCAGCTCCGTGCTGTCTCCTGGATCCATCACTATCTGAGTGACCTCAGGAAAACCTCATCACCCCTCTGAACCTCAGTGTCTTCATCTGAAAAAGGGGATCATAAAAGTGTCAATCCCCTTGTGTGGAATTACAATAATAAGAGGGATAAAAACAGTGCAATCGCTAAACGTTTATTGATCGTTAACATGTGTCAGGCACTCGGCCAAGCACTTTACATATGTGAGCTCATTTGGTTAAATGAGGTAATGCATATAAAGTGCTTAGCACAGGACTCCTGGAAGGGGAGCGATAATGATGATGATAAAGAAATTGATGCCGATTCCCTAGGGCCAGTGTCCCTGGTCCATCCCCTTACAGGAAGGCTGGAGTGGCCTATGAAGTTTCAGGAAGGAGGTGGACTTGGCCGGATGAGAGATAAAGGCCAACAAGTAAACCTTAAGAAGCAGTTTAATAATGTCAAAATGACAGAGCAAACAGGCCTGGGAGAGCAGGGACCCGAGAAGTTCTACAGAACGGAACCACAGCAAGGGGCAATCAGACCTCCGCTCCAGCCCAGATGCCAGCCCAAGCCCCAGACAGGCAGAGCATACAGCAACCCAGGGGGCCAGGCCACTGGTCCTTCCCGTTTATAGATGGAAAAGCAGAGACTCAGGGTGGAACAGACACCTGCTCAAATCTGCAGGATGCCAGCGGCAGAGCAGGGCTTCAACCCAGGCCTCCTGCCTCCCAGTTCTGTGCCCAATGACCTCCTGCTTCCCACAACAGACAGTGCAGGGGGCACCTGGAGTGTTTGGGCCCCAATTCCAGGGAAGCCATTCGAGTTATGAATCATCAGGATCATAACAAAGAACAACAGTTGATTGACTGCCTGCTGCTCCAGGCACAGCATTAGATTCATCACATGGGCTTAATTCCCACAGGAACCCTAAGAATTAGTGACTCTTGATATTATTTAACAGATGACAAAACTGTAGTTTAGAGAGGGTAAGCAACTTTCCCAAGATCACACAGCCGGGAATTAACAGAGTTGGACCCAATCTGTCCTGTCATACTCTGGACCTTTAATAGTCCCCTACTCTTGTCCACCTGAGTGACACCTACTGCTTCATACTGCAATCCCTACTACTCCCTCTGACTCCCCCACCCACCCCATGCCCTAGTCCCTCACCCAAAGCAAGGCTAGCCCTATATAGAAGAGATTTACAATTGGCCTGCTTCATTGTAATGCTTAAATTCCACTCAAAAAAGAAAAATGACACCATTTCTCAAGTTTTCAGCCGAAAAATATTTAATGGCCTCTTTTATCCCTCAGTCTGTTGGATAAGAAAACTGAGTCTCCCGTTTCCCCTCAGGCCCGTGAGTTCAGCATCCTGGGAGCATATTCTGGAAACTGCCAGGCAGTGGGGACTCCAGGGGCTTAGTGACAGCTGGAGGGACCCTCTGTAATCAGCTCAGACAGAGCTACCGAGCCAAGAGAACAATTTCCAAGTTCCTCCTCAGAGCACCTCCGAAATGATCTCCTGTAAGCTACACAAGCTGCCCAAGCCACGCAGCCCGGATGCAGAAGAAGTAGAACCCCACCCAGATCCCACCCTGCTCCAGAGGCAGCTGCTGGTGGAAGAGTGGGCTCAGCTTAGCAGGAGAGAGCTCTGGAGGCAGGAGGCAGGAGGCAGGGAGACAGACCTCCTCTGCCACTTTGCACCTCCACAGGGCAGTAGGCACCTCTGTAGGTGCCCCAGACACACCAGGGCCAGAATTACTTATTCTATAATTAAGAAGGCAACAGAGGACCAGGTGTGGTGGTACATACCTATAATCCCAGCAACCTGTGGGGCTGAAGGAGGAGGATTGCAAGTTCATGGCCAGCCTGGGCAATTTAGGAAGGCTCTGTCTCAAAATAAAAAATAAAAAGCGCAGAAAATGTAGCTCAATGGTAGAATGCCCCTTGGTTCAATCCCCAATACCATGAAAAAATAAAATAAGGGCTAGGGATGTCATTTAGTGGCAAAGTGCTTACCTATCGTGTGTGAGGCCCTGGGTTCAAGCCTCAGTACCACAAAAACAAACAAAAAACAACCGAGTTTCTAGCTTGAAATTTAAAAATTAACAAACCCAGCAAAAGAATCTTTTGGGTTTCAACATTTCTTGGAATTTCATGTTCCGTAGACTAGATAAAGAAAGGGGTTTCTACTATGAGCTAGGATTTGCCAAATAACTGATCTGTTCATTTATTTTGCAAATATTAATGGAGTGCCAGGCACTGTTCCAGCTGCTGGGGACTTAGCAGGGAACAAAACAGACAATCTCTGCCCTTCTGGAGCTTCCATTCTACCTGATCATAATTAATCTCCCCCTCAATCCTCAAGGATGAACACTTGATGGTTGGGCAGCCCCAGGTGGCCTGTCTCCCCCAGCAGGGAGCAGGGAAGGCTACAATCTTCAGAACCTGTCTGTGGATGGCATGTTTGGGACTGGTGTCCCTAAGAGGAGGGAGTAATATAAAAGGGAGGAGCGAGTTGGGGGGTGCCCAGACCCCAAAGCTTCCCTCTACATCATCCTTTGCACCTGTGGAGAGGATGCAGGTTAGAATGCAGACCCAGATGATGGAGTCTAGCATGAGGGAGGCTCAGTGTCCCTCAATCGGCACTCAAACCTGAGTGCTGCCACATCAAGGTGGGTGGCCGTTATGAGTCTCCCCCTAGAGAAGCAGCATAGTCTCATAGCCCCTAGTTGGACACTGGTCTCTCCTTATCCACTCTCCCAAATTCACCTGCCAGAGCCTCTCTTGAAGGGTACAGCTGGTTCCCCTCAGCCTCCAAATTCACTTCTCTGTCCTCCCTGGGAAGAGGACATGAGTTCTCAAAGCTGGGGCAGGCAGTGTCCCCCAGTGTTCTGATCCTTCCCAGGGCACCCAATTCTCCCCACTCCGTAGGTGCCAGCCCTAGCAGAGAGCTAGCGTGTCTGGCCCCACCCCTGCTGCTCTAGTGGATCTTATGACTGCTGGAACCTGGGTAGCCACAGTGGCCAGGCCAAAGCAGGGAAGGTGGTCAGGCTGGCCCAGGACCCGGCCGTTCCTGGGGACCCTCTCTGGAGAGGTGCCGCTCCATTCCAGGCCGCCCAGTGGGGAGGGTGTAGGAGGCAGAAACAGCACAAAGGAGTGTTGAGCGTTCTGGGAGTCCACGATCCCAACACACAGATGAACCCTGACCAGAAACACTGACGCACCAAAGAGAAAGCCAGAGAGCCCCACACAGCAGCCGGGACTTTGTGCGAAACACTCGCTTAGGGGGCAGAGACCCGGAGGAAGGGAGCGCACGCGACCCAGCGATCTGGAGGGAAACACGCGGCAGGGACCTCAGCGGGTCCACAGACACACCCCCCGCCCCAAGACAGCCACTGTCCCCCGCGCAGCCCCAACAGGCGTCCACTAGTCCAGTGCCGGCCGGACGCCTGGAGCCCAGGGCGCGGGGTGGACCGGGGCCCCACACAGGACGCGCTGGACCGTGCGCGCGGTGCCGGGGGAGCGCGGGGCACAGCGGCGACAAGCGCACACAAAGAGACAGCCCGGCCAGCAGGAGCAGGCTCCGCCCGTCCGCTGCGCGACTCGGAGCCCCCGCGCGGGCGCTCCACCGCCACACGCGGCCACCCAGCCCTCGGCGCGCCCGGACCCGCCCCGCCGCGCCCCACCCCACGCGGCCGCCCGGCGCGGCTCACCAGCTGCAGGCAGCAGAAGGCGACGAGCGTGCAGCGCCCGCTGCACTTGCCCATGGCTCCGGGCCGCGCGGACCGTCCCCCGCGCCCCTCTCGCTCCGCGGCCGCCGCTCCTCGCGCCGCGCGGGCTCCGCGGCCTCCCGCTGGCGCCCCGGGCGGCGGGGCCGGGCGCCTAGGGCCGGGCCCGGGAGCGCCGGGTCCCCGGGGCTGGGGCCGGCCGGCCGCGCTGAGAGTCCATGGTCCGCCGGCGCAGGTCTGCCGCCGCGCCTCCTTTGTCTGCGGCGGGCCGTCAGGCTCACCCCGGCCCCGGGCGCGGGCGGCAGGCGCAGGGCGGGCGGCGCGGGCACCGGGCGCGACGCGGCGCAGCACTGCCCAGCTGGGGCAGCCGCCCGGGCGCTCGGCGGCCGCCGCTTCCCGGCCCACCACGTGGCTCTGCCGCCGCCGCCGCCACCGAGCAGGGAGGAGAGGGAGGGGCGGGGCGGGGCGGCCGCGGGAGGGAGGAGAGGGAGCCGCGGAGGTGGGGGAGGGTGCGGAGAGGCCGGAGAGGGGAGAGTGCGGCTGACAGCCCGGGGTCAAATCCGGACTCCGCCACTCACTCGCTGTGTGACCTTGAACAAATCACAACACCTCTCTGGACCTCGGGGGTTCTCGTGAACAAAGTACGAATAGTGTCTCAGTGCTCATGTGAGCATAACCGGCATCATGTAAATAACAATAACGCGCTTAGCCCTGAGTCAGGCCTCTTGAGGGTGCTGGAGCGTTCCTCCATCACCCTGCCTCCTTGGTCCTGGGTTCCAGTTTAACTCTCATTTCTGCTCTTCATCCCAGCCTCCCTCCTAAGTGCCTGGCCATGTATTCTTCCTTCACTCTTTCCTTTTACTGGCATTTATTGAGCCCTGACTGCATACACACTCATGCTGCTGGAAGCCAGACTAATGCCTACAGCACTGTCCTAGGTCCCGTCATAGCCCAGGGACCAGACAGACAGGCTTCCAAGAAGATAGCGATGAAGTGGGTGGCGGCACAGGTCTGCCCAGGAGGTTCCCGCAGCTTCCTAACCCAGGTTGGATCCAGGAGGGAGTCAACAGGTTTGCTAGCAAAAAGACTGCCTTCTTCAACCACTCCCGAAAGCACCAAAGTGAACCATCCCAAGTCTGTGTCATCATGCTTGCCCAGGTCCTAACTTCCCCCATCCAATTTGGTGATTGGCATCACCTAGGGATTCCCTAGGGCCCCCTCCCTCCAGGCTTCCCTATCCCATATGGCCTGTCACCGAGTTCTGTGGACTGTACATTCTAAGCAGTATTTCGGTAATACTAGGTGCTCTGCACTGGGGATGAGGGAAGGAACCAGACACAGTCTAGTGAGGGATCATCATTAAAACAAGCAAATACATAAGTGCATAATTAAAATTCTAATGAGTGCCTTAAGGATAACAAAGGAAAAGAGAGAATAAGAGGGGCACATTTTAGGCTTGGAGGCCGGGATTTCAGGGGTGCACCATGGTGCCAGGCCTACCAGAACTCTTCCCCACTCCTCGCCTCCTGCTCTTCTCTCATCCTGGCCTCCAAGGTAGAAGCTCTAGCACGTGTGAGGCACTGAGTTCGATCCTCAGCACCACAGAAACGTAAAATGAAGGTATTGTGTCCACCTACAATTAAAAAGTAAATATGAACAAAAAGGGAGGCTCGGGATGTGGCTCCATGGGAAAGTGCCTCTCAGTTCAATCCCCAGGCCGCCCCCCCCCAATAAAAATGAACCCAACACACAGGACACTTTCTGAGTTGAACATCCTATATGTGCTGAGCTTCCCACTTGGAATAATAATCTGGGATAACAGTGGGAACTTTCTCAGCCATGCTTGGCGAGTAACAGCTGTGTCCACCCAGGTTCTGTGGCTGGCCAGGCTTCCGTAGTTCTGTGAAGTCCCGAAATAATATGCAAAGTGAATGTGAGCAGATGTGCTTTTTATGGGGAGAGGGTCCACAGCTTTCATCAGATTCTCCAAGGAGTCTGCTTCCCAGGAAAGAAAACCAGGCAGCAGAGGCTCGGCCTAGATGTCACCATTCTCTAAAAGATCCTTGGGGCCTCTTCCAGAGGAGTCTCTGCCAGTTCCTCCGTGAGGCCAACAGTGTGCAATTCCGTAAGAGTAATAACAGTAATAATTTATCGAGTGCTTACTCTGAGCCAGGCACTTGACACATATTATCTCATTTAATCCTCACGAAAATAGTGGATTCCACTGGGTCTATGCCCAGCCCTGCCAGGCTCTTGACTGTATCACATCCTGCTTGTGACATCCCATTCAAGACCTGGCTGCCTCACTGGGAAGCCTGACTGTGGGACCAGCCTGTCAGACAGCTGTCCAACTAACCTGTGCCCCAATCATTCCCACATAGTTGGTGTCCTGCTCTAACAAGTCCCCGCTTGTGCCATGCCATGTCACAGTCTCACTCTTCCCTGCTCTGGGCGCGTTCTCTCTGCCTGAATGTCCCTCCCATCCTCCCTGCTTCAGGGCCCAGCAGACCTTGGACCTCTGTCACCTGCAAGTGCAGGGCTCTAGGGGGAGGAATCCTCTGTAGGAATGGATGGGACCATCTTTGGCAAGAGGTTGGGGGATCAGGTACTGGAGATGACGTTAGGGGACTTGTGTCATCACCAAGAAGGATGACTAACCCAGGGATGGCGAGGGGGATGTGGGGAAGGTGGAACAGGATTTGGACATAAAGGACAGAGATGATTCAGAACATGCCTACGCTTCCTGGAATCATGGTCAGCCCTGGAGGGAGGCCCAGTAGGTGTGACAAGGGGAAGAGTCCCTTCTGAAGAAGTCCCCTAGGCTAGGCAGAGTCTGCAGTACCTCACTCTGTGGGTGAAACACTGCGGGCTTCTGAGAAAGTTCACTCATAAGATAGCTGAATGCGGGGCTGGGATGTGGCTCAAGCGGTAGCGCGCTCACCTGGCATGCGTGCGGCCCGGGTTCGATCCTCAGCACCACATACAAACAAAGATGTTGTGTCCGCCAAGTACTAAAAAATAAATATTAAAAAAAAAAATTCTCTCTCTCTCTACCTCTCTCTCTCTCACTCTCTCTTTAAAAAAAAAAAAAAAGCTGAATGCTAAAACTAATAATTTCCCCTTCTTTCAAGTTGGAGGAGTGAACGGGCTCGCTAATTATAGCTTCTGGGACATTTTCTGTCACCAATTCTGCACACCAGCTGGGTGTCTTGACAATTCAATTCAGTTCTGACACTAACTACTAGGAGTTAGCATAGACCCCACAGGTTGAGACTGTCTCCACTTCAGATATCGGTTACAAGTCTGGGGCCACCCACCCATAACACTGGCCCATGGGCTGTCCATCCCACAACCCACCTCAAGATCCATGATTTGGCTGGGCGTGGTGGCACATGCTTGTAATCCCAGTGGCTCGGGAGGCTGAGACAGGAGGATGGTGGGTTCAAAGCCAGCTTCAGTAATGGCAAGGTGCTAAGCAACTCAGTGAGATCCTGTCTCTAAATAAAACACAAAATAGGGCTGAGGATGTGACTCAGTGGTCAAGTTCAATCCCTGGTACCTGCCCCCCAAAATGACCCATGATTTGTTAGAGTGGCTCACAGGACCCTGAGAGGTTGACCTACTGGTTTATTATAAAGGATATAAACAGCCAGGTGAAGAGCTACATTTGGAAAGGTCTGGAAGAGTGGCACATGCAGGAGTTTCTGTCCCTGTAGAGATGAGGTGTCCCACCCCCCTGGTGGATGCACTCACCAACCTGGAAGCTCTTGAACCTCATTGCTCAAGGGTGTTCGCTGAGCTCTCTATCCAGCTTCCCAACAACCCCAGGCCTCTCCAAAGGACCGTGGGTGGAGCTCAGAGTTCCCACCTGTTGACATGTGGTCTTTCTGGTCACCAGTCCTGTTTCGAAGCTATCTAGGGGCTGCCTTAAGTCACCTCATTAGTGTAAACCCAGGTGTGATAGTGAGAGACTAATAAATATCAAGACACCGCCGGACTGGAGTGGAGAAGGCTCAGTGGTAGAGTGGGTGCTTAGCAGGCACCAGGCCTTGGGCTCCACCCCAGCACCCCAAGACAAAAAGACACTTCTGTCTCGCAGGAGACTCCAAGGGTTTTAGGATTTCTGTGCCAGAAACCAGGAACAAAGACCAAATATGTGCCGCCATTTACCACGCACCGTACCCAGGCACTGTTTGAGCAATTTCTGCGCATTCACTCATCTGACCTCGCAGCAGCCTTATGAGACAGATGTCCCCACTGCCATCTCCATTTTATAGATGAGGAATCTGAAGCCAGAGGAAGTTACATTGGCCCAGGGATGTACCAGAAAGGGCTGAATTGGGTTTTGACTCCAGGCAGAGATATTCACCTCTACTGTTCCTTCTCTTTTTAAGCAGTAGATCCTTCCTTCAGGAGAAACTATACATTTCTTTCTTTCTTTCTTTTTTTGGTGGTGCTGGGGATTGAACCCAGGGCCTTGTGCTTGCAAGGCAAGCACGCTACCAACTGAGCTATATCCCCAGCTCCAAGAAATCATACATTTCTAAACAGATGAAAATACAACTGGACCTGTTCTCAACTGAACTGGTCCTTATCTCCCCTGAAGATCTAAGGTCAATCCAAGGTCTCTAAGAAATAAAGTAGAAAAAACACTGGCTTCAATGGTCTTCCAGATGCCACCTATTTACTTATCGAAGAGGGAGAGAGATAAAGAGATAGAGAACCTGAAGGACAGAGAGGGTGAGTGAATCCTCTAAGGTCACACAGCACCTCAGAGGTAGAGCTGACTCTGGGTTCCTTCAATTCATGACTGTGCCAGGCATTGAGCTAGAGCCTTTGGAACCAAGCATGACTAGGACAAGTGCTCTGAGGGAGCTTGGGATGAAGGCAGGGTCAGCACACTGCCAACATTGCTTATTTCTGTTTCTTTTTTTGAAATGGGGTCTTGCTATGCTGCCCAGGCCGGCCTCAACTCCTGGGCTCAAGTCATCCATCCATCTCAGCCTGCTGAGCCCCGGGAAGTGCAGGTGAGTATCCTGCACCCAGCTGCTTATTTTCTTAAATGCTTCAGCTTCCCCTATTGCCCTTTCCT